TTGTCCCAAGCTGTCTAACCTCAGACGTTAAAGAAGGAGTCACCTTTTAAGTCCAAACCTCAGAGAGCCCTGTGTATGTAGTGATGAATTTCAGGTATAGTGAAGAAAGTAATTGCCAGGAAATCCTGAAGGGAGTCTCTGGGACTGAGTTCACAATCCCTGGGTAGTACCAGCTTCAAGAACTTCTTAAGTGAACAGTTCATAAAGGAATACTTTTCAATATAGCAATTTCCCTACAGAAAGCATTTGTCTCAGCAAGCTGGCTCCTCAATACATTCAAATGGCTGATGGTGGAAGAAGCAAGAATGGTGAACAACTGCACTACCTGTGTGTGGAGGGTTTGCAGCTTGACACACTGAACAACCTCCCTGAGCCTTACATGATTCTTCTACTGCAGGCAGGGCAAGGTAAAAAGTATTTACCCCAAGATGCTTGTGGCTCTTGGGCCTTTTTATTAGGTTAGAAATTATTTGATAAAAGCTATTTAAAGCACTCTTAAAATCTTTTTGAATGAAAAATGCTTTATAGAATCATGCCATAAACTAGAAATATCACTTCTATTATTAAAAGGAGTTGAAAGGACATCTAAAAGCATATGGGTAGTGCTTGTGTAATTCCTATAAGCAGATGCCTGGAAATTTAAGGAAGTGACTGATCACTCTGAATACCTGCTCTGTTTCACTCTGCACAGCGGGGAGGTGTATGCCACACAGCTACCAAGATTTCTGACAATGCATCCTTGCTGAAATACTTCCAGTGTAGACATCTGGTATTTGTCACTGTTCTTCCCAGAGGGCCTTGGGAGAATTTATCTTTCTTGTGGTTTTCTTAACAAGTTTGTGAGGTTTTGGTGTCTGGTGTAAAAAAACACAGCGTTGGTTTTGCTGGGTTGAAGCACACAGTAATTTATTGGTTTTGGCATTAAGCTGCATGAATAAATGTGCATATGCAAGAGCTGGTGAGCAGCCTTCACCTGAAAATTGCCATTAATGCTTCATGGAATAAACCAAAGAGCCTGGTGGTTCTATTTGATCGCACATATGGCAGTCCTGTATGATGCCACTACTTATAGACACAGCAAGATTACTGGTGCATCCATCACTTACAAACAGTAACTTTTCTTTCTCATCTTCCTCTCAGCTGTCTGTTCTTTGCTTATGCTATCATTATCAGAAAGATGAATCTCACTGTGCCTTGGTGGTATAGCTTCTCCCATATAAGTTCTACCCACATATATCCACTTGGGAAGAGGGTAAGAAATGCAGATAATGGAGTATTTGAGAGAATGATCAGAATGAGGAGCATAGACATATTATGGCAAAAGAACACTGGCTGATAGAAAAGCAGCAAGTCTGCAGGCTCTGCTGATGGAAGAAGAGAAACCTACTCAAAAGCAGACCTCACCCTCAAGTGTTTTGATGTGCAGTGAACTAGGAGTGCAGCATTTTCCCTAACAGCTATTGACAAGTTTTATGCTGACCTCTGAAGGAAGAGAACTTTCTGTGGCCTGTTTGGCTATGGGGAGGGCAGCTTACACTGACCAGTGACTCTTCTGGAGTGAGAGGTGCTCTCAAGATGGTGGCTAAAATGAGCTTGTGATTTCAGAGTTACTGCTGCAGCTGCAGTTTGGTTGGAAGGGGATGAGTTTTCTTCTTGACTTGGTGCAGTTGTAAGCACCAGTGTTAGCAGAATATGTGACAAGGCAGTGCACTTTACTAAGCACCAGAAGTAAGTTCATTTTAATTGGCTGCATTAAAAAATATTAATACCTAAATATGCTTGGCTTTATTTGTTTTTAAATGCACTTGATTTGCATGGTTTAATGATATAATTTGTAGCTGTTTGTTTACTATTCCTCTCTTGATAGTTCAGAGTAAAAAAGCCCGTTTATTTATCACAACAGGTGGGTCTTCAATTTCCACTCAATTCAAGTCTTTTAGAAGACAAATAATTTCCTTCTTTTCCATTTCACAGGAAAGCAAAGATTATATTTATCTTCCCTACCTGTAATTTCACTGATAAACTGTATACGTACGTGGCCACAGATAAAAGTATCACATCTGTATTAGTGGCTTCAGCATTGTGAAGATTACCCTATTTATTTCTAACCATATGAATCTGACAGCATCCCCTTTAGATTTCTATTCTACAGCACATCAGTAATCTTTGAAAAATGTGTTTCTTTGCTCTGTGAGACGGGGTTGATAAGGTAAAGTATTAAACTGGAGTTTAAGCATTTTGAGGATATTTCAAGGACACCTGCTAGGGAGGAAGTCTTTTTCATAGAATCATAGAATAGTTAGGGTTGGAAAGGACCTCAAGATCATCCAGTTCCAAACCCCCTGCCATGGGCAGGGACAACTCACACTAAACCATATCACTCAAGCCTTCGTCCAGCCTGGTCTTGAACACTGCCAGGGATGGAGCATTCACAACCTCCCTGGGCAACCTATTCCAGTGCCTCACCACCCTCACAGGAAAAAATTTCCTGCTTATATCCAATCTGAACTTCCCCTGTTTAAGTTTTAACCCATTACCCCTTGTCCTATCACTACAGTCCCTAATGAAGAGTCCCTCCCCAGCATCCCTATAGCCCCCCTTCAGATACTGGAAGGCTGCTATGAGGTCTCCACGCAGCCTTCTCTTCTCCAGGCTGAACAGCCCTAGCTTTCCCAGCCTATCTTCATACGGGAGGTGCTCCAGTCCCCTGATCATCCTTTTGGACTTCTCAGTCTAGCTGGTATTGCTAGGTACATATATGTAATGGATTTACAGTACTTAAAACTTTCCATTATCATGATGTCTTTAATAAAGAGTTGCTATGAATATACATAGATGCCTAAAAGCTTGTTAGGCTTTATGAGTTTAAGAAATGCTTCCTCCTTCCTTCTTTCCTCAGCCTGGGGTTTCCATCTTTGATGGGGCAGCAGCAATTTGCCCACTGCTATCTTGATTGCTCCTGGAAACTTGCATGGAGCATTCCAGATGTGTTCCTCCTTCCAGGTAGCTGCCTCCCAACCACAGTGAGAAATACCTCAAAGCCAGGGCTATCAGCTCTGTCAAACACAGCTGAGGAGAAGGAATTGTATCAATTTCTTTATTCCCTTCTGCATGAAGCATTGTTCCTAGTGGTTTGGGGTTTTTTAATCCCTGTGGTTTTGTCCTGTTAATTGAGTGTTGATGAAAACTTCCCACTGTTTTCTTCTGGAGTCTGTTTCATAGTTGTACAGGCCTTGGACAATCTTTCCTGGAGTCTGCCTTAAGAATTCTGCCCTTTTCTTGGTATCATCAACATCACTCTTGGTTGCGTGCTCGCTGATCCTTTTCAATGATCTCCAAATGCATGTTAATGCGCCCCACAGTGTTGGGTTTTCTTGGTGTGATGCTTACAGCTGGGCAGGAGGAGCAGAAGCACAGGCCACTGATAACACCTGCAGAGCTTTGCCCTTCATGTAAGGCAGGCAGCCAGTGCATCATTTCATGGTGCTTTTCATTTATGTGGCAATGTGCTTCATTATGTGGTGTGTGTGCTTCATGACAGCTGTCTGCACGTAGGTAAATTTCATCTCCAGCAGATTCCTAGGGGCTGGAATTGAGCCCAAGAGTCCCTGTGCTCAATCTTAGACTGCACTACCTTCTAGTATAAGTTTGTAATATTTCCTCCCTTTTCACTTTTTAGCACATGCTGACAGTGATCAGGAGACTCTGAGGCACAGCTGAACTAAACAAATGTAGCTTTTCAGTTCCTAATAAATGGCAAAGCTTTTATTTTCTCAGGAGCAGTAAAAATAGCATGCCAAAAAGCTCATTCTAGTTCATGGACTTTGTACCCATCAACCTGTAACTGAAATGTCAAAAAACCTAATTGCTGTCTTTTGATGCCAATCTGCACATCACACAAAGTCTGACTGACATACATGAATTCATGGTTAATAGACTCAGTAATGGATAGATACGCTGACATGTAAGCAGGCATTCTCCAAATACAAAGCTGAAGTTAGAAGTATGGAAGTATTTAGGAGGCCATGAAGTGATGTTGGAATAGACACTTGTTTGTTAGTGGTTTCATTTTACTTTGCAAGTTATATTTTTCTACAAACCAGAATTAATAATAAATTATAAACCCAATCAGCTTAGATTAAAGTATTATAAGACTATTTCAGGCTGTTCTGCATGGATGACAGTGCAGGAAGACTGTAACTAACCGCCAGTGTGCTTGTAAGGGGTTGGATTCTAGCCCAGCTTTTAAGGTTGTGCATGTAGTACCAGGTAGGCCAGGACAGAGTGGATGCACCAGTTCCAGCTGAGCACAGGTTCTCACTAAATGTGGCTTACTGGCTGATCCTTCGATTATTAAACTATCTTTTGACCTGGAAGATGCAAGAGGCTCAAGAAGAGGACTTTCCTGGGCTATGCAGGGTTAGTCAAGGTTACACTTCATAGCAGTGGCATATCTGCATTGTGTATATAATCTGTATTATGTATAATCTGCATAATCTGCATTATGTATATATATACCCATGAGCAAAAACATCTGTAAATTAAGTCTTCTCCAACTCTTCATAGTAACAGAGTATTGTTATCATAACATCCTCATCTGGAATGTATAAATGTCACTGCTTTAGTTTTCGTCTTGTATGAGAGAGACCTGTTAAAAGTTTGGCAATGTTGTGATGAAGTAGCCAGGTGCTACAACAAAGTCAGGTGGACAAGGAAGCAAAATCTATATTCTATCTACCTCGTGCATGTATATATATTATATATATAATGAGCTATGAAACCAGAATGCACAACTCTGTAGACAAGGAGAAAAACTGAGACAAAACTGGCAGCAATACGTTGTTATTTGTGTGGACTCAGGATAGCCTTGTTCTGGTGTTCCATCAGGCTGTAATACTGATTTGGTGTACGAACAATAAGTCATGGAAGCTTATTTATTGCTATCAGCTTTGTGGAAGAATGTCATTGTCTCCAGGTGAGATGAGCTGTGTTGTTTTCTCTTTATTTGTGCCTAAGCTGTAAGGTATTACATATGTGCTCAGACAAACAGTGTAGGACAGCTAGATCCCACTGTAAAACCCGAACGCTGTCTCTCTTGACATCTGGTTTTACCTTCAAAGTGTTACTGCCTGTATAGGACTTCCCATGTTACTTGCCCTAGTGTGCATAGCTGAGTGGTTTATAAAAAATAAGATCGTTTAACAAAATCCATGACATGTCAATTTGACTTAAGAAGAAGCCACAGTGAAAGAAATTAAGTTGCATGGCTCTATGATCATTTAAGATCAGTCATTAGAAATTTCTATCGCTCAGTTCAGTAGAAGTGGAATTGCAGCTGTAAGATATTAGGGCAGTGGGTGGGGATGTGGTCCAAATACAGCCAAGTTGTCCTTCCATCTAAACCCAGTGGAGACTTTGTAGTTTATTTCATTAATTGGGGCTTTTTAGCTGATTTCCTTAATCAAAGCTTTTAAGACCTTTAAAGAGATATTGTCAAGAAGGAAAAGCTGGAGTTGCAGTTTGATTGACCAGCATCACAAGCATTTTTTGTTAAGAGTGGAGGAGTTTTTAATCCCCTAACCAGCTGTGTCAAATCAAAGTGGGTACAAAGCCCTTCTGTAGTGACAGTTTCACACTGCAGCTGAGCCTGCACTGAGCTCATGTGAAGCAGCTCTGGCTGCCCACTGCTGTCTGTCATCCCATGTTACATGGGAACATCGCTTGTGGGATGGCTTGGCAACACAGATTAAGGGATGATGCCAGTTAAAATTAAAATGATCCTCAAAACACTGGAGCAGCACAAGCAAAACTGTTGCCAAGAGAAATGTTCCAGGCTGACGTTCTTACTGACTCAGCGCTGATGTAGATGAATACGCAAGGGCAAAGCAGGAGGGACCTCCCTCCCCTCTCACCCTTGCTGTGTTACAGCAGGAGAACTCAGTCACAGAGCAGGGGCACGGTCATTCTTGTTGCAGTACAGAGGGCAGGCAGGGCTTTGTCATGAGGATCCAGGCGTGCGTGTGTAGAATTGGCCTTTTCTGTATTTTGCACTCTGCAATTCATCTTTCCTTTTCTGAATCCACCATTCAGCTGGGACTATGAATGGTAATGTTGTTTTACACCCACTCCTGCCACTTAATTTAATTCTTATGCAGACATACTGATGGACTTTCTTAAAACACTGAAAGGATATGTTCTTAAATCTTCTTTATTTATATCTTAAATGCATGAACATTTGGTGAGGTTTTGTTTTGATTATTTTAGCATCATTTTCTTTATGAAAAGCACTTCCTTGGCTGAAAAGTAAAAGCCTCGAGGAAGTTCTTAGGTCATTAAGCAACTTGAATGACTTTAACACTGGATAATCCTATTACCATCACAATTGTTATTATGGTGCAACCGGGAGGGAACAGATCCTGTAATTCAGATATTTGGAGGGGAGAAGCAGATAGCAGCTGGGGAAGAATTTGGTCTGTTACCTCCTCATTGTAGCTGAAAACAAGTATTTAAAAGAAGAAATACCCTAATCTCATGGTTTTGATGCCTGAAATTAACATTTACACCAAATCATCTGAATGAAATTCCTGTCGAAGAGTTTAACTTCTACATATTATTTTCCTACCTACATCTCAGTTCAATTGTTATTTATGGCAGAGAGATTCCTGTTGGTGTTAGGATGAAGAGTGACTCAGAACCCATCTTGGTTTTGGTTAAAAGTATTCATGAGTTGATGATGTAATAAAAAAAGCAGCTAAATGGATTTAAGTAATTGTTCTGGACAATCATAAGCTAAGGCTCATTTTCCTCTTCTTCTCCATTCTTAATTTTAATTCAGTTGTGAAGCTTTCAAATTAGAGATCTGAAGCAAAGACAGCAAAAGTAATCTTGGTGCAGTTCTACCATTATCCCCAAAGCAAAAGAGTCAGAGGGAGGGAGATTCCAGAGGCTTTTGTTGTGAACACACTTAACACTTGTGCTTTCCAAAGAAGTCTGGATAATCCAGGTGTGAGGTGCTCCTGAGAAGAGTGAGCGAGCCTGTGCCACATTTTAATCCTCTCTCTTCTCCCAGAACTCAGTTTTGTGCAGCCAAGCAATCAGCCAGTTCAGGAAACTGATCTGGGCCCAAAGCTAAAAATTAATAATATTCAGTTTAATCAACTTCCTGATGAAGCTGTCTGCAGGGCCCAATGTGCCATGCTGGTGCCAGCACAAGGGGGCAAGTATGCAAGCTTGCAGACAGGGAACAAAAAGGCAAGATCAGCATTAAATCAATCTGATCGTGAAACTGCACTTCAGGTCTAATAAACCACATAATGAATTGCTGTTCAAAGCGCTGGTATAAAAACCTGTAATGTGTGCCCAAAGCAGAGCTGTATTCAGAAGCCGCTGGCAGGGGATGTGTCCCAGCAGTAAAATGTCTTTTTACAGCTGCACTATTGGAGACACATCCATCCCATACCTGCAGCAGTGAGGGACTACTGTCAGTGCAGTGAGGTGCTGCATGAGTGATGGCTCCTCACTGGCCACACATGGGTACACGGGAGCCCCTTCTCTCAGTGGGTGCACCTGCAGTTACTCTCCATGCAAATTCCTCTACCTGGTCTCTTGAGCATACTCTGGGGGCCCTTCTACAATTCACTTCAAACACTTTCCCAGATGGCAACTCCACAACCCAGATGTTGTTTATTCATTTGTCACTTTAAAAGGAACACAATACCAAGAAAAGAAAGGAGCAAGACATGTTTGTTCTCCATTGAAGGAAAAAGAAGGGGACTTTGACATTGGAGTTTCCTGCATTCTTGAGGTCAAGAAGGTTGTCACAAACTGCTGTTCTTCTCTGAAAAGAACCTTTCCCATTCTTTTTCTACTAGAAGGCTTCTGCCAGTGAGAAGCTGGGCTTTAGAAACTCCATTCCTAAAAAGATGTCAGTGCTGTAGGTGCTCAACAGGAGCCATTTACATGCTGTATCTGGGATACTTCTCTTTGCTTATGACTGAGTTATTAACGTGGTTGTGACAGCCTGTGGTTGAAACCCATGAGTGTCTCTGTAATGCCTCTGTGAGGTGTGACCCTGCTCCTGGTGGTTCTTCCATGGGGTTAAAATAGGCATAGTTTGTAGACATGCTGCGGTGGCTGTACATCACATTAGATGTAGGAAGCTAAAGAATGTTGCCATTTCATTTTCAGGGAGCTATTTCAAAGGGGCAGTTAGCAATCCCCTATCAACAGCCCTGTCAGATCATAGCATCTCTTATTAATACTGCAGAGTATCTATGAGATCAGCCTTTTGCAAGAGCTCAAATAGTAGTGAGTGAAGAAACCTTGGGTGCAAAAATTCAAGCAGCAGCAGCCTTTCCTCTGAGGCATTTTGGACTATTCAGTTCTCCAGGGCATTCAAGACCTTTTCTACCACACTGCTTTGCCAGATAATGGAACTTGGAGAATCACACAGGTCTTTCAAAGTGTTGCTAAAGAGATTGAGGAGGACTTGGGCTGCAATCAGTCTCTTTAATGGTATTACTAGAAAGATTGTATCTCTTGTCCATTCGTGTGTCAAGAAATGTTTTTATAGCAGATCTAGCTATGGAACGTTTGTCATCCAAGACTAAATATAATAGAAAACCCGGTACCTCACAATGCAACAGGCAGTTCTCTCTCCTCTGAATGGACATAGGGGTTCAAGCTGACTGTGGTCTGTGACACTTTTGTTTGTTGATGTGTGGCTCATTTTCTAGGCTGGAAATAGATGTGTTACTGTCTGAACGAACACATGTCAAAGAGATTGTCTGCTCTTCTATTTGGTTGGCTCCTACAAGATCTATAATAGCCACACTTGTTTGCTTACAGATACAAGGGTTGATGCATTTGTTTCCTCTGTACTGCCCATCACAGCAGCAGTTGGAGTAAATTTCCATCTTGTGTTTAGCAATGCTCAGAGCCCGAAGAGAAGTTTTAATTGAGCTTGCAGAAGTTTTCTTTTGTTGGGAAATTGTTCGCATTCGTTTGTTGAAGCATCTTCTAGGAGCGCTCACAGGCAATTTCAGGCTTTGACAGGATGGAGCTCATTAACTTCCACCCAAGCTAAATGTCAATTTACATACTAATGTCAATTTTCTTTTACCTTTGTGTCCCCAGTTCCATTTTTTAGAAAACCAAATGCTCAAAGTAATTTTTCATCCATGAAATCACAACAGTTAAGAAACGTGCCCCAGATGTATTCCTCCAATTGGAGCTATTATACAAGGCACTGCAAACAGCAGCTTGCTCTCAAACTGCTGCAGAGGAGAAAGGGGCTCTTGAAGGAATTCTGGTAAAAGTAAAGAACTTAAATGTACTAAAAACAGATTAAATGTGTGAAAATTCCGGAGAACACTGAATGGGTTTTTTCAATGTTAGATCATCAGAACCAATCCATCTGTAATTGGTAATTAAAAAGATGAATAGCAGTGGGGAAGGAGGCAGTGAATAACAACGAAAGAGGAGAGACCATATTTCTCCTTTTTGCAGCGCATGCACATAGGAGGTAAATCCGTAAGACAAAAAAAATAGGAAATCTTTTTTGCATCCATATAATAAACATGCCAAACTTGCTCCCCAGAGGTGTAGTTAACAGGAGTTGGTTCCCATTAATTTAAATGTCACACCTCTCTGGGCAGAGATTATAATATTATTTTTAAAGGAAATTTAGCAGTCAAAGGGTTGTGCCATGAGCTGAGGAACAGGCAAAAGGGAAATATAAGAAAGGATTTAAAAACCATTTTCCATAACTAATTTCTCGCGTTTCTCACATCTTTCTTTGAAGCAGTTTGTGATGCTTGTTCTTAAGGTTTGTGATGTTCTTCAGGTGGGATTTTATTCTAGGAAGACTTTGTTACCTTTCTGCTGTATTTAATAAATAAATTTCCTCAAGCTGTATTTGTGGTTTATATTCCTTATGAAAAGATTAATTCTGCTGTATTTCACTGGCTCTTGGAAAAGTCAAAGGAACGTGTTGCCAGGATAACAAAGAATATGTGTGCCAGAGGAGATTCAGCATTCATTCAGACAAGAAACAAAAACGTACCAACTCATTGGCCTCTAGCAGCAACCCAGTAAGGCTTGCAAAGCAAACATTTCATATTCATAGAAATACTAGCAACTGGCTTTAAGTTTACAGAGTGCAGCAAGGAAGGGAGCCCTGTTTTGATCAAGTTAGGAGGTGGCATTTTCTCTTTTCAATGAAAATTTCAAAAAGAGAGCTATGTAAGTGTAACACTGGAGTCACTATGGAGGGCTGTATTTCTGCTCCCCTGTAAATCACAAGGGATTTACCATGATCATGAAATTTTTGGTCTTTGAAAACTTCCATCCAAATATACAAGAGGAGATTTGCTGCTTCTTATTATTGCTTTCCTTCAATAGGACTCAAAGCTTTGCTGGTATTTGTAGATTAGTGAGTGCTTCCAAAGAAATAAATTAATAAACTCGGCCAAGGAATATTTGCACCACTGAGCACTACTTCATATATTCCTTGTACACATGCCAAGAACTAGGAGGAAGCTTTCTTGACCATGGAGCAGATTCTTACAGGTAAGGTGAGAGGGGAGGTAAAGCAGCATGACTAAATTCTTCCATTTTTGCATTAATAGCTTCTGGTCCTGGTCCAGTTCCCTGTGATGCAATTTCTAGGTTATGGAGTGTGTATGATATATATTTTTGTCACCTTAGAAACGTGAAAATACTTACTAACTGGCTAAAGAACTTCATGGTGACTGAAGAGCAGCTAAAAGCAACCTGAAGTTTATAGACCTAAGAATGGTAGGAGGTGCAGATGAAATAGCTGCATATGCAGATTAGCACATTTACATAACTTGCTGACAGCACCAGCCAGCTGCTGCATTCTGCACAGGATGAAATAACCTTGGGTTTTAAGTCATTGCAGGTGATGTGACAAGGTTCACCTTCTGTGTAGCTCTGGCCATCAGGCAAGATCTCAAATCTAGTAAGTATGCTGACTTGTTTTGTGAATATCACACCTGGAAGTGTTTGGTAAACTCTTAGTGTTGGGTTTACTGTAGGTACATTTAAAAACCTTTGTTTCACTGCGCATCTCTGTGAGTGTTCCAACATTAACGTATGGGTATAGCTTGAAGACAATGTTCTGCAATTAAAAATCATATATAGGAGAGACACAAAATGAATATCTGACAAAATGTGATGAGAAAAATAAGCTCTGAAAAAGTAGGAGGACAGCACAGAAATAAAAACCCCTTTTTATTTTCAGATAGACATGCAAAACTGCTGTTAGCCCCATCAAGTGACAGTAGGTGATAGGCCGAGACGCCTCTTAGTTGCTTTATGCGAGGAACAAATGCTCCCATGCTCCCAGAAGATAATTCCAGTCTGATCTCCAGAACAGACAGGGTTTGGCCAAACTCCAAATTGATCTCTTTTTAAAAAATGTTTATTGCATATAATGTCAGAAAAAAAGTTTAACAAATCTCATTTCCCCTTTTACGTTGTTCCATGATGAATATGGAAAGTGAAGACACAGGGGAGAAGTCCACAGCCCTTTACAGATCTGAGTCGATTATACATACATTATTTATATTGCAGACTGAGGTGAGATTTTGGGTTATTGAGCACTGAATTTTTACAGTAGAGTGCAACGAAATTATTCAAACCAGGTGTTTCTGTAATTGCAGTGCACAAGGGACAGTGCTGGGAGCTGAACAGATCCCAAATTTACCCTTTCAGCTGAATGATGCAGTGGTTTAGTGTTAGTACACAAGGCAATAAAATAAATTGCATTGGAAAACAAGGCAGGCTGGCTGGCTCTAAACTGCTGAATTTTGATTGCACTTGGTGCCTTTACCTTTTGTTTGCATTTGTTTAGGCCTTTATACCAGTATATGATATGAAGAGATGAACCTGTTCATTAAAACTGAGGTAAAACTACTGGTAATGGCTAAAATTCAGTAACTACAATATGCCCTCTACTCTCATCATTGTCCTAATATGTAGCATCCAGCAAGTGATATATCAATACCCTGTCACAGGGTTATTTGCCTCCTTGCTCTGCATAAGGAGAAAGGAAAGCAACAAGGAAAGAAAAAATTGAAAAATCAAGTGTTAGTTCATAAATTGCAAAACATCAAGTAATGCTCCGCTTTAAGTACATTTTAATGCATTGCCACAAGGTATTTGCACATAGGCTAAGCTGCTTCATGCAAGTCTGATTTCTTCTAGAAATATAAAGCACAGATTTCCCCCATACCAATGTGGGTTATGTATGTGCACCCATTTTTCTAAAGAGAGCTGTATGTGAACTGCAGTATTGCAATGCTAGTGATGTCTTGGTCTTTTTAATAAGGCATTTATGGATATTTTCAGTGAAAATACTATCTCTTGTTGGAGTTTTTCATTTGATGCTTCAACTGGGTCTTTCTGACACGAGACCTCTGATTTTTGATACCTGTTTTATACAGCCTGTGTTTATCGTTCCCAAGTAATATTGGAAAGAGCAGAAAAATACAGAGAAAGCAATCCATGAAATAGGTCTCTGGAAGACAAGAAAAGATCATTAAACCTTTTAAAGTTTGGCAAACTGAATCACAGATCTTACAAGATAGTGGCTAAGATGTCACCAAGCTTAAAAGTGAACAAAAATTAATTTAGCTGCTGCTGCTAATATGACTTTGGCTTATCTTTGAGATCCTTCTTGAATACCTTTAATTAATTGACACAATTTATTTGAAATTGGATTATCATGAGGTTTTTCTTTCCTGCCTATTTCAGAAAGATTTAATACAGTTGCTTGACAAAATCTACAGGACTACAGTAAATGAAATTACTGTTGAGGTGTGGAGGAAGAGTTGTTCTGTTCCTATGCATGAGATCCAGCTCCACAGAGGATTTTATCCTTTTTCAGAGCCAGGACAAAAGCTATGCAGGGTTTAGTTCTATTTAGATATCTGGCTCTTGCATATGATGTGATTTCAATGTGCTGAGTAAAAGGCATTTTGAGAAAATAGAAGTATGGGTTTTACGTGTGTGCTCCTTACTGGACTAAAAATTTCTCAACGGGTACCATGACTGAATGTGACAGGAGCTCTCTTCTCTCTTTCAACATGCTGAGGTCTTCAGACAGATTCAGTTGTTACACTGTGTATGCCATCAAATCCTGAAAATAATAATGCTGCGATGCTGCCCCATGTGGAACTTTAGCAGCTAGAAAGGAAGATGCAGCAGACTCTATGTAGTCTGAGAAAAAAATTGGTTAAGTTTTATAAGTGGACAACCCTAATATACCGTACGGACTGTTCTAGGCTAACTGGATATTAACAGCTATACTCTCTTTTATTAGCATGACAAAAATACTATTTAATACTGCAGGGAAAATAGACTTCTATTGGCTGTGGGGAAAAATATGCAACCCTTGTTTCACCTATAAATTAATGTTCTCTCATAATTTTAAACAGTTTTCTTACAGTAACAAAGTAAAGTTTTACTTGTATAACAAAGTAAAAAACGTTCTTTCCATTCAGCATTTACTTGAGACATGGAGCACCAAAGGGCTCAGGGAATTGAACGTTGTCATTTGAAGGCTATTGCAAATGCAAGAGCTACCGCTCCTGTCAATTAACTGTGTGGGGAATATGTTGTAGGTGCCCAAGTGTGGTACCTGCAAATGGCTGGTATGAACACTCCCCATTTCCCAGGGAGTATTCCTAGCCTGCATACAGCATGATTTGCAGTCTCTGCGTTGAACATCTTTGCTTTTGCTTGCTGGTGGGAAACTAAAAGTTCAGCTGAATGCTGTGTGCCTCAGCAGAGATATTAATTCTCCTCCAGAATCCTCATAAAACATTATGAAGACAGTCTTGCAGGCAGGCATTACCCTTGGGCTGCGGAGCTTGTGATGCTTGCTGTGCCTCAGTTCTTGCTGCTCACAGGAGCAGGTCACTGATGGGCATCTTCAGTCCTCCAAGTGCAGGAGGCAGCTGATGTTATCTCAGTGAAGGTCACTGATTTGATCCTAGAACAGGTGTTCAGATTCTAGGGATGCAGGAGCTACTAGGAAAGAGTATTAGCCTTTAATACTAGGGTGAAAGCTGTGTTTAAGAAACATCCACAGAATATGCAGAAAGTGCAAATGTGAGAAAACCCTTACAGAAGCCACAGCAATGCATATGACAGGTTAGGGATGTATGCTCAAGAGGCTACTGCATGGTCCAAATTCTATAAGCTGTATCTGTCAGATATCCAGAACCAATAAGGGAAGGCAAATCTAAGAAGCCTGAGGCGCTCAACAAACAGTTTATATCACAAAGCTTAGGAGCTGAGGGCCTGGCACAGTGCAAATATTCATTGCCTTTTTCTCACCTTGTTCTCTGGAAAAGCAGGGCAGAACAGTAGGCAAGGAATGCGTATATATGGGGGAATATTTAAAGGAGAACAAATAAGAAGCCAGGGGATGTGATTATTCACAAAAAAAAAAAAAAGAGAACCAAATAAAAACAGGAATAAAAGCTGTCACTTGGGGTGACAGATGGATGTCAAAGGAAATGTAACAGTGAAAGCAAATAACGCTTTCTACCTTGACAGTATCTCTCTCTTCTACTCTCAATCCAATTATAACATTTTTTCCTTTGTCTCACTGATCTTTTTATAATGAAGAAATAGTTCATCTGACTTAGCTGGTTCCCAAACACTGGTCGGAGTAGTGCTTCCAGCAAAATACTGAAAAATGTGCTTAATTTGAAATTTAGCTGTAATGGTGTTACTCATATGCTTAACATCAAGCATGCACTTAAGTGCTTTGCTAAATGAGGCCCAGTATTTACACTTTCAGGGGTTCCATATCCTAAAAAGAAATTAATGTGCTAACCACGTAACACATTAAGTTTGCATAGTATATGAAATACTACTGCAGGGATTTGACAGGCTAATTTCATTGTAAATAAGGAGGATTAATTCAAACCTCATTGGTATGATTGAAAAGATTCCTAGTGATTCCCATAGTTCATGCATATTGAAGAGAAGAGTTAGATAAATGTTCCCTAGAAAAAGTGGGAGGTTCTTATAAGCTACAAAACAACAGATGTCTTTGCTCTATAGCAATCATTTCATTTGTGGTATTTCTGCAGTAGGACTCTGCCCATGATGATTTAAATGACAGCATCTGTGGAGGCCTTAAAAAGAGTCTTCACTGCATTAACTTTATGTGGCAATGTTACATCTGAACTGAGCCCATTTCCTGGGCAGAATTAGGTAAGACGTGGGCCTGGCACAAAGCACAACAGGAACATCAGTGGAACTCCAGTCACAAAATGCAGAACATATGTGGAGATGTTTATACAGTTCATTCTTGCCGGTTTAAGCTGCTGAAAAGGCTTTGTACTTAGTTTTTCTGTATGCTACACTGTTGCACTGGCCAGGGACTGCTTTATTTCTGGATTAGCTATCAACAAAATCTTGTAAGGAAGCTCTGGGGTATTATTTTTCTAAATAAAACAATAGCAATGAGGTAGGCAAATATAAGCTACAGTTACCGTGCATCTCTTGCAATCTTCAACATCTGAAGTTGTTACAAGGATACCCTTAGTCCGGTGTTTGTAATGAAGAGCCCATTATCTGTCTTTATTTTTCTCTTGAGTTCTGTTTTCACATGCACCTGATGGCTTTGCTGGGGATCTGAGCTGTGTTATGCTTTGAAAAGCAGATCACAATTCTGAAATCAGTTCTCTCCTTATAGAAGTTAAGATGGCACTGGGAACAACATGAAATGGGAGAACTGGGGGAAGGAAATTTTTTTTTCTACGTGGGAAACCCCTAAACAAACCAAAAAGCTTTTGTAATTGATCCGAGAATCACTGTTTTCTGAACTGAGCCAGCTTATCTCTAGAGAAGGGTTCACAGTGTTATTGCTTCCTCTGCCTCTTTACTCCTTCCTTGGTTTCTTTCTGTTAAGAAATTTATAACATCTCTTTTCAATTCATTTCTAGTTCCTGAGACCTGAGTTGGTATTTTTATCTGTACAATACCCAGATTAATTCACAAAATGAGACCCACTGCATGTACGTAACTCAGCTGGCAAGGCTGTAAAAGCTGCAGGAAGATGATGAGGGCTTTGGCAATTGGTTATTTATTTGAGGCATTTGGAATTCCTAATGGCTCCATTAAGAATACAAATACTGTTCATCTGTTTGCTGCACAGTGTCACAGGGAAGTGCCTTTACAAAGAATTTAAACGAAGGATAGGGTAGTAACTGTGTCTTATTGGCTTGATTTTTACAAACCTCGATGCTGTTAGTCAGAGAGGATGGTGTTGTTAGGCCAGTTTAATTACATCCAGGACTGGAACTATAGTTTATGTGAAATCCTTCATTCATGAGAAGGCTGTGTGCTGGTGTATGTGCACTCAGTGTACACAGTCTGTTGAAACTCTTACTGGACAGAAACATGCTCCGAACTACCAGGCACTGTACTGACAAAACCTCCCTGCTCACCAGGAATAATGCTTCTTTCTGGACTCAGCCCAGGAGCTGACTGCTGTCAGCCCTCACAGATCACAGTGGGAGCTGCTGCTTTGGTACTGCTGGTGGGAGACAGCACCACTTCCCATGTACAGATGTGTTGTCTTTCAAGTTCTGTGCTGGAGCCCCACATTCTCTGCTTGCATTTTTGGTGATAATAACATTAATATGCAAACCGTGCAGGTTGTGCTAAGTAGTTCCAGAGCTATTTACTAGCAGGCATATGTAACATCAGATGAGGCTTCTAAAAGTATTCTTTTAAAGTGAGTGTGCTTTTAAAAATACTGCCTATAATTCTGCTGCAGCTTTCTTGGTTTGTATATGTAGAACTGACAGAGTCATGTCGTTTGTTAGCTAAAACTGCCCTATTATGTATATTCTTCTTACTCCTCTGAAAAATCACAACTGTTGTATATTCCAAGGAGACACATTTTGGAAAAAAACAATAACATTTAAATTGTATTTTATTTTAAAAAGTGTTATATAGTGAGCTATATTTTTTCCATTTTAATTGGGAAACTTTTGTAGCAGAAAGTTGTAAACTACCAGGATTCCAAAACAACCATAAAATGCACAACATCTGAAGCCGTATTGCTGTAAATGAATCAGATACTGTAATCAAGCCTTTTTATACCTTAGAAATAGATAGGTAGCTAACTTACCTTCTTCCTCAGTTTTACATTCATTGGAGATCAACACTGGAAAATAAACTCTTCTTTGGATCACTTACATTCCTTCTGTCACAGACTGGATGTTCACATACGCGTCATGGACATTGCCAGTTGTCACATCTGAAGGCTGACACACAACTGGGGAAAATGAAGATGAGATGAGGTGTGCATTGCAGACTGGCATGCAACCTCTGTGTTTGTGTGTGTATCTGCACAGCTATTTTCATTAGCCAACCAAGACATTTTTAGGTTTCAAATCTAGTAATCTCTGCAAGGTGCTGTAGAAATTATTTCTCCAGTTTTCTACTGAAATGTGTATTGTAATGGAGTGTGTTAATGGGTTATTTACAGCTGCTGGTTTTGCTGCACTTCAGAAACCAAAGCTACTGTTTAAAAATCTTCATCCAGGCATTGAAGTCTTGCCTTAGAGGCCCATTTAAAATAATTCTGCTTTTATTTTTTTTCCCCAGAAATTAATGTGTTAGATATGGAGTAACAAGCCAGAAAGAGCATTTATGACTATGTAGTCTGGCCTACTGCAATGTAAGCTGTAGATTTCACTCATAACTCTGATTCATGGATGTCCATAAAATAAATGATGTGACATCACTCAAATTCAGCTTAAGATGTTCTCAGTGCATATTACTTAGAAATGAAGGATTTCTTTGTGAAGATTAAAGTTAACATTTTCAAAGGGAGGAAGAGAAGCAGTTGGAAAGGAGGAAGCAAAGCAGCATTCACAGTATTCATTTACCATGTCAGTAATTCAGATTATCTGTGTGTATCAAGTAGCCCAAGAAGTCTGAGATCAATTGCTCTGCACATCTTTACAGGATGTAGCAGTAGGAAATTCCCTGTTTTTTAACCTTCCAGATTTGAAGATCCAAATCCCTGCCAGCAATGGGAAAAGCAGCAACAGAAGATCCGTAAGGAATGATGAATACACGCCCCCCCCCTTCTCTGTATTGTTTTCCCGCTGGCAGAGAAGTTTTTTCCTCTTCCAGACACACTTTGTTCAGATTGTTGGGTAAGAAAGACCAGACTTTTGTGCTAGCAGGAACAATCCAGTCTGAAGGAGCACAGATAACAGCCCTGAATGAGCCAGCCTGTTAACATCCATCCATTAATAAAACTATAGGAAACAGTGCTGTGTGAAAACAACAGCACTAAGTTGCTTTGCTGGATAAATCTGAATGAGAGAGGATGGACGCTGTTGGAAAACATGACAAGAATAAAAGGAAAGAGCTGTTTTCCTCCATCAACCATCTGATTTTGGGATTTACATTGCATTTCATCCACAGCTAATTAAGGTTAGCTCCAGTGGTAATCACTAGTTTCTGTGTTAACAAGAAGAGAAAAGCAGTCATTAGGAATAAAATGATCCTTGTGGATCTATTAGGATTTGTAGCCCTAGCCCCTTTTCAGTCTGTTGGATAAAAAGCATATAACTAATGCAGTATGATATGTCTAATCCAATTGGACGACTTCTCTGGTTGTTTTCACTTAATTGATGTGTTAAAATATCTGCACTTACCATCTGCAGGAGGCACTGGAATGACTTGACATCATCAGAAACCCACACCTAGCTGGTGTTAAAAGATAGGCTGTAAGGCTGGCTATCAGGTAACCCTTGCTCCTGGGAATCTTCTTTGCTATTTGCATGGTTTTTTAGTAACAGAAGTCATAAAAAAACCCTTGAGATCAGAAACCACAATGCTGTATATATTTTGGAAGCCAAATAAAACCCCAATCCTGAAATAAAACTTAACAGACATAGAAGAGGATATAAGGATAATTCATCTGTGCAGAGTGGAATCAATGATTTTTCTGGTGTTTATTACCATCCTAACTTGGTTTTCACTAGAGAAAAAATGAACTTTTTCCTGTATTTGATTTGAATTAGAGCATTTTGGAAAGGCTGATGTACTTCCACTGGGACCAGTTCTGTGTTTCTCTAAGGAGAGTGGTGTGAGCCATTCTGCCCATGTAAAGACCCATTTTTTCTAAAGCATCCATTTAATTTGGAAGCATAGGAACTTTGAAAGTACCATATAGATGGTTTTCCCATAAACGAACTTTTAACTAACAGAGAAAGTTCTGTTCTGGTAATTTTGGGGCCTTCCATCTGCACATGTACCCAAGTGTTCCTACTGTTTTTCCTATTAGTGCTTACTGGAAGCTTTGCTTGCCTGCAGCAGATGTGTGTGTCCATTGTATACCCCTGCAGAGGAATAATGAGAAAAAAACTTTTAAAATGGAATAACAGAATTAAGAAACAAATGCAACAGAGCTCAGTGGGAAACGAGGACATATGAGGATCCTCTCATAGCATAGAGAAAACAGAAGAAAGAAGGTTAACTAGGTTAAAAATCAATTTCTCTAATACAATATAAGAAATGCAATCTAAGCTTAATTTTCACCAAAGATTTGTTATGCACTTGGCAAGCAAATATGGATTTTTATGAGCATTCTGTTTCAATTTTATGTGCAAGTGACATTTGGCAGCACTAACTGAAATGCAGCATGACTTTCACAGTTATTTCTGTTCATTGTTTTGGTTGCTTGTCACCAACTTCTGGTTCTCTCTTCGTCTTTGCTTATGAACATTCTTAAAGACATGTTAACTCTTCAGTTGCCTCCGATTGCTGGTCTAATTTTTTGACTTACAAGAATGTAGATCTTATGGGACATGTATTTATTAATGCAATTTGAAACCTTGAGAAAAAAAACACTTGAGTGGTTTTGATCAAATTCCCATCTGACCATTTGATGTCAATGAAAACGTCATGTTGAGTCCACATAAAAGCAACCTGTGGGGACCCAGTGCTAAGCATTTTTATTGGCATTGGGGGATTTATTTTGTCTTTTTAAGAATGATGTCTAAAATGATATGCACTGTGAAGATGAGGTAACTTTAAATGGGATTTATATACCCAGAGGGGCTGAACAGAGCTGCAGAGATATATTTATGGAAGTGGGGTCCAGGCAGTGTTAATGGCAAATGAAAGAGCTGTGACCCTCTTAGACTCTCATTATGTTCACACCATGACACAGAGTTGCCAGGAGTGTGGCAACTGAAATCACAGTATTCCTAAATGCAGTGAAATTCTTGCTCTTAATGATGAACCCAGGATTTCATCCGTTCTCTGTATTCATTAAAATCACTAAAATTCCAAACAAATATGTAGAGAAAAGTGATCGTTTTGTTATGTTTTCATTTTTTCCTGGTTTAGCTTCTTCAGAAAGATGAGTGCTTAAAGGTGCAGTGTCTGGGCAGCTTCACAAACAATGACGTCAAATCATACAATAGCTGAGTTAGTACACAGTGTACCGCTTGGGTAAAAACTGTGTTGTTTTCTCTGTGAGAGCAGGGGTTGTCGTTGTTTGACAGTCCAGAAAACCCCATGATGGTACTTCTGATTGAGGGATAGTAGAAACTCAGAATTCTTTGTTTCAGATTGGATGAAACTTGAGAGGATACATGATTTCTCTCTTTTATACATGAATAAAACCAGATTGTTATTTGATTGAGGTTTTACAGTGAGCTAGTAATGAAATTAAATGTCTAATACATTGAAATATGACTGTGAGTGTACTTTTCTATCTATATACATCCCCATAAAAAAGCAGGAGCTTACCAGAATCTTTTTAATGTCTTTCCTTAGAGAATCACTGAAAGACAGCCTGTGTGATCCATTATGGAGAGATCACAGACAGCCAAGACTTCTGGCCACTGATCATTTAAACTTGTAGTGTACCGGGGAAATTAATCAGGTGCTTACATATCCCAGGCTAGCACACTGGTTTCTAAACCATTTCTTTTCTTTCCTGGGTCCTATTCTGCCTCCTACATAAATCAGTGTGAAAACTCCAGTTTGCTGCTATCAGATCTGTGCCGAGTGGATTTTAAGCTTTGAATTACGCATGCCTGTGAGCAAAAATTGCCTTTCCCTCTGATGGCACGGTGTCAGTTGTAACAAGGCTCTAAGTGTCTGCCCAAACCTTGGGCCCCATCCCAGCCAAAATAAATCCTTTACAATGCTATTTCTCACTGTGTATAACATTATTCTCTAAAAAACTTCCAGTTTTGCTTCCACAGCCTAATTGGAGTTAAATGACTTGAATATTTACCTTTTTTTCTGTCACTGGAGGCAATTAAGAACTATGACTGAGTGTCACAAAATGATAAATGTTTCCTGGGTGAGAATTAGCAGAGTAGCCCAGCCTGCCTTCACTTCAGAGAGCATAGAAGTTCAGGGAGGGGGTTGTCATCAGTGACTTAGAAAAAAACAAGAGGAAATTGAAGCTGAATTTTGGTCTGGCAGACAGAGTCTAGACAGGTCTCCTGCATCAACAGAAAGATGAGATAAATATTAAAGAAATATTATTCAGCCTAAAACAAGATCTAGCTGCAGCTGTTGGAGCGGTGATTTTATTCAGAGGCTTGTAGAAGAGTTGTGTAGTTAACAGCATGCAGTGGAAGAGATATGATTCGTTTCACAATGAACCCCAAGTGCCAGGTATTTTATTACCCTTACACAGGGAGTTACTTCCAGAGGTAGTAAATTTTTCATTTAAGCATCCTTTGTTGGCTATAATCCCTTTGATTTCTTTCTTTAATTAAATCATAGTTTTTCTGGCTGTTTTTCCTTTGTTCTATTTAACCACTCACAATCTTTTAACAGTGATAGGCAAAGAACAAATAAATGCCTGGCAAATATACCTTGGCAGCAAAGCCAACCATAGTAAATCCTGTGATTTAAATACCAAGTTGTACTCTGAAGGATATTTATAGCATTTAGCCACCCCAGAAAACAGCTCTGAAAACTCTAATCTCTCCCAGAATCCCAGATTAGATACAGTAATATGATAGGAGAGAGATAGAGTGTTCAAGAATAGATTTTCTTCTGTATATTGAATCTTTGGTTAGTATCCTTCCTGGCAGCTTATACAATTTGAATGTGGCAGCAGTATTTCTGTAGGTACAGTCTCTGGGTCTAAGTTCTGTCTCATGTTTTATCTAATTATCATGTTTATCTAGTGTTGTTACCAGATAGCTTGTGTTCATTATGATTATTGTTTCTTTTTCAGTAATGCTGTGTTGGGTTAATGCTGCTTCTGCAGGCAGAAGGAAAAAGATGGTTAATCTCAGAGCAACAAAGACACTAGTTGAACCATAATGTTAAAAATTAATTATGTATTTGGTATTGAATGTAGGATATAACTAACTTAAAAACCAAAGGCTCATCTGGTCATCTATCACCAGTCAGTGATGTGTATTCTCTGTGAAATGAAGTGTCCATCAGCACACGGATAATAAAATTCTGAATTTTGCATTCTGAATGAATTTGTAGTGGTTTTGACATTTATTTTGACAGAGAACAGTTTAACTTAGAGTCAAGTTTTTAATCAATAAATGAACGATCATGTTCTTGTGAATTGTTTGCAAGCAATTAAAGGCATTTTGATTAAATTGTTTGCATGTTTTTAATGTTCTGTTATAAATGATTTTTTGGATGACTGATTTACTAGATCAGGTGTTTAAAGATTTGTAATCATACAATTTTTTGATTTTCACTGTAATGAGCGAGGGAGGGGGAATCATGCTTAGATCTTCAATGGTATGGAATACACCTTTGGCTTGTTTGGGTCAGGTGTCCTGTCCCTGCTTCTTTCCAGTGCTTCAGAAGAGCTTCTAGGCTTCAGGCTTCCTTGAAAACAAAGGTTTGCAGGGAATACCCACATTAGTGCCTTTTTAAATAATTTCCTTGTAACATGTTAAATTAAACTTTTTTTTTTTTAAATTATCCATTGCCTCTAAACTGGTTTATATGATTGGAATTCGTTATAACAAACAAAGTTATTTCTGCTATTTGGTTATTTAACTCGTAACTAGAACATCTGCTTCATGTAATAGGAAGGTTACAGCTGCATTAACTCGATTATACTATTAGTAATAACATGCTGTTGAGCAACGTGCACTGGTTAAAAAATAAAACCTAGCAGAAAGTATGACTTCAGTGGTTC